ATGGAGCCTGGGTGGTCTAAACTTAAAATGTCACATTCATATTTTTTCATACTCACTTGCCTAATTATCTTCACATCTAACTTAATAAAACAAGAAAGAGCTTTGACACTAGTAGCAAATGTTCAGCTATTTTCTGACCCAACAGTAAGATATAAGTAAGTCATAGTTTAAGTTTTACCAATTACAAATACACACAAAAACGAGTTTAAGATGCTACTATATGGGCCAGCAAGAGGACTCAGATAAAGGCTTGCTGCCAAGCCTGATGACCTGAACTTGACTCCTGAGACTTGATGCAAATAGAGAACCAACTCCTCCAAGTTGTCTGGTAAATGCCACCTGTGTTCTGTGACGCTCTGCCATGACTGCGCCCACACGTGCCCACGTGTACACACACACACACACACACACACAAAACCTAACTACACAGCCAATGCCATTTTAAAAAGTAACACATTACTCTCTGTGCCCCCCCCCCAATTCTTTTTCTTAATGTTTCTGAAAACTGGCATCTTCATTGTCTGTCAGTTAGGCAACTAGAAGATACTGGAACAAGAATATAGGGAAGCTTGTTCCCAGGAAGCCTATTTATTGTTTGGATTCAAATTATCGGCATGTATTATCTACTCAAAATAAATAAAACTTAAGTTTAAAAAAAAAAGGCCTTTGGGTATACATACACAGCTCAGTGGTCAAAAGCTCGCCTAGCATTCATAGGGTCTGGGTTTGATTCCTAATACAGCCAAATTCCTTTTAGTAATAGTCTAAAAATAACCAAAAATAATACAGCACACCCTTAACTCTTACAATTATAATTCCCCAACTACATTTTAAGCATTTTGTCAAACTGTAACCAAAATTGTTTCAGCTCTTTTGTTCTTCATTTCTACCACAAAATACTAACAAAAAAAATATTTAATGTGTTTTCCACTAGGAAAATGCTAAAAAAAAAAAACAAAAAACAAACTGGGGGGGGGGGCACAATTACACAATTATCACAAGCCAGATCACAGAAACAGAAACGCTGGCCAGGTTTCCGTCTTCTGAGCTCAGATCGACCATCTTCACCCCAATGTGCTTTGTTATACCTAATACCCAGTTTATGACCTCACTAGTACCAGTGTCTGACTGAGGATAAACCCACGTATGTATCAACAAGCCCCTGTGAAGACACTGCACATGCATGTATGAGTAAACCATCACCCATGTTAGACCAGGGAACACACACATGTCTGAGTTCACCATCACTCACATTAGATCAGGGGACACACACATGTATGAGTTCACCATCACTCACATTAGACCAGGGGACACACACATGTATGAGTTCACCATCACTCACATTAGATCAGGGGACACACACATGTATGAGTTCACCATCACTCACATTAGACCAGGGAACACACACATGTATGAGTTCACCATCACTCACATTAGATCAGGGAACACACACATGTATGAGTACACCATCACTCACATTAGACCAGGGGACACACACATGTATGAGTTCACCATCACTCACATTAGATCAGGGGACACACACATGTATAAGTACACCATCATTCACATTAGACCAAGGGCCACACACATGTCTGAGTTCACCATCACTCATATTAGACCAAGGGCACACTGGAAAAGATCCCCAGATGGCATCAGCCACAATGATCTTATACTAGACCCAATTTCTCCCTTCTGAGGAAACTTCCTGAAAGGGAGACATGGCTAAAGGACAGGCATGTGCTCCTCTCCTTTCAGCTGGGGAGTTCATGAACTTTAACGTCAATCAAAATAATCCAGGCTAAGCAGCAGAGCTCAATACAATTATGGAACTTCTAACAAAGTAGGTTAAAAAGTGATCTTACTGTCCCTGACCAACAACTGGGCCCTGCTCTCTATTTGCTATGAATAAAAGTACGTCTACCCCTTTCACTTTGGGCACAGTGAGGCCTGTCCCCCTGCCTCCAGGCCCTATCCACCGCAACAAATCCAAGGCCTCTGAGTCAGGCTCCATGAAAAGTAATGGCCAGGTTCAGCCAGACTTCCATTAGCTTGCCCTAGCCTCTGGTGCCCTTTCTACTCCTATTGTCCTCCTAGCTGCCTAGAACCACCCAAACTCCAGGCCTGAACTTCCTTCTCTGAGTCGTACACTCCATTATTCCTCTAGCAGAAGCTTCATACTACACACACACACACACACACACACACACACACACACACACACACACACACACACACCCCTACCTTTCCCACCACCTTTCCAGGCTGATACACTAGGGATGATAAAGTGGCGAGCATAAACTAATTCACCAGATGGGTGACCACCCCTCCCCACCCTCATTCTCTAAAGAATACTACATTTTAAACAGATGGCTAATGGAGAAACCTAACATGAAACAATGTTAGGTTACAGAGAGGCCTAGGTGAGGCCAGTTCCCTTGGATGGTGTTTACAACCTGAAGCACAGTGAAGAGCTTCTAACTACATCTAAGAACAACCAGTTTCCACCCAACACAAACTAGAACTATGGTCATTTATTATAGTTGTCTGTGATCCTTCTTACCTCAGACACCCCACTGCAGACTCAGATCAAACCTAAGAAATCACGGCTTTTTAAAACTGGACTAATCCCCACTACAAGTGCTTCTGAAAGGGGGAAGTTAGCTACCAGTGTGCATAATGACCTGTCCTTTATCTGGTCTGGCAGGCCAGTGCGTACCGTACCCAAGGTTCCACTTTACCCATTCACTTCTTGCAAGAATATCACCACCCTAGCCCCCAGCACAAGGCCCAGAGAGCCCTGACAGAAGAGCCTAACTGTAGGCCCTCTCTCAGGTCGCAGTAAGCAGCCTGCCAGAACACCTGCCCAAATGGGCCCATTCCAAGCCTTAGGATAGAGCGGTGGACTCCACTGTCTGCAGGCATACTTTGAAAGAGGCATACTAAGACTCAATGTAATATTCACTGCCCATCACCTGCACGGAACTTTAATTCAGAAATTAGCTGCTTCAAAGAGACCATGACCACATACCAAAGCATGTTAATCTTCACCCAAAAGAACACCAAGAGAAACAAAAAAAGACTACCTTAAAAACCAGACCTAGTATTTGTGGTATATGTATTTCTTTCATGTTTTTAACTACCTTTCATCACTTGATCCTATTCAGCTTATTAAAGGAAATCAAAAGAGTTGCCACAGAGGACTGGTAGGCATTTGGTTCACAGGAAGGTTTAAGGAGGGGTGGGGTTAGGAACAAACACAACTCTGTTTTTTAAAAGCATGGCATACTGCAGCTCCTACCCCTCACGCCAGTTTTTGTAAGAAATTCCCCATACCAAGCAAAGACACCTAAAACCCCTGCCTCGGCAATCTTTACAATCATTCTATCCATCTGGGACTGGCTCTAATTTTGCTAATCCTCACACTCACACCTCTCTTCTTCTGTATTCATTCTCTGATCCTCCCTGTCTAACCCCCCAATCTCTGGTCTGGTCCCAAAAAGGGAACATTCCTTCACCTCTCCAAGTAGAAGCCCTATATTCACTCTCTCCCTACTGACTTCTTCCTTTTTGGTGAAAAGACAAAGGTGTCCTCTGGGAGGGGATGTGGTGTCGACTCGAACCACCCTGCATTGCCTTCCACTTCTGCGCAAACTGTATTCATCTTGGCTCCAACAATCTGGTTTGTCCATGAAATGGTCAGGTAGCAGACAGGCACCCCCTTTTCAAGTCCTATGATCTCCACTGTCGTCTTAGAAAGTTCAGGAAGCACGCCAGTCATCCTCAACACCAGGAAGAAGATGAAGACAGGACCATGAGTTCAAAGCTGGCCTGGGCCACACAGTGAGACTATCTCAAAACACCACACACGAAACAAGTTTTAGTCTCATATACCCCAAGACTTGCTCTATCTTCAACAACCCTTGAACTTTATCTCACCAATCAAAATTCACCAGTCATTTCCAGATTCCCTCACATCCCACCTTATTCTGTTTGTATCAACTACATTATGGGAACCAAAACAGTCTGATGTCTTTTCACATGCAGCCATCAACATGTTTTCCATACATTTATGAAGAGACCCTTACTACAGTTAAAATACCCCCATATTAATATTTCAATTAATGGCTCCAGATGCTTTCTTTCCCAGAGTTCCAAAATGACAGCTGTGTCAGAAGTTGTCAGACCCCTTTACCAGGGAGGGACAATCACCCTCAACTGAACTGTCTGGGAAAGGAAGGTGGAGAGGAGATGGGCAGGGCTAATACTGCCTTCATCTCCCGGGCAACATCTGCATTTCTCCCGGGCTAGCAAGCATCCCTTTAATTTCTCTTCATCCCACTAACCGACAAGGGCTCAGCTTCGTGAATGAATCCATTACAAGTTCTTTACCTCTCATTCAAAGAGTCAGCATTGTGACTCCGAAGTACCAGACCTCCAAGACCTAGGCCAAATAACGAAACAACCCAGGCAAAGCACTTTCTACGAAAACCCTTTTTCTGAAAGGCTTAACAAGCACAAACTGGGCCAGGTTAAAGCGAGTAAAACTAACAACTGGGCAAGTGCTCCGTCGGTCTCAAGAGAGGCTACAGCTGAACAGTTTGATTGGGCCAGCTTCCTAGGAATCTGACTTCAGAAAAGCTGCCTGCTCACAAGAGTCCAACTCTGAAGTTGCAGGGGCGGCTGACGTGAAAACCCACAGCTGAAAACATTCAACTCTCTAACCCCAGAGCCACCAAGGGAAAAGAAAAGTCTCCGAGACCGAGGAATTGGACAGAGTCCTGAGCAGACCATCTTCACCCCTCGCACACCTGCGGCCCGGCCCGCACCACCGCACAAGACCCGCGCCCCGAGCCGTGTGCAGCCGACTGCTCCCCGAGGCCACCGCGTTTCCGGGTGGCTCCGTGAGAGGAGGTCAAGTCGCCGCGGCGGCCTGGGGACCAGCACCCGCCGCGGCGACGGGCCCCGACCCCCGGCCCCGGCCCCCGAGCGGTCGCCCTCACCGTGGCTCTGCAGGATCTCGTGCTTGAGGCCGCCGGTGTAGTCGATGAGCTCCTCCAGGCCGCGCTCGCACAGCTGCCCGTAGCCCGAGAACTTGTGCAACACCTTCTCCAGCTCGCGCTCCACCGTCACGCACTGATCCATGCCGGAGACCGCGGCGCTCGGCTCCCCGGCGCTCAGCGGCCCGCAGCGATTCGGCCCGGGCCCCGCCGAGGCCGCGTCCTGCTCCTCGTCCCCCAAGGCGGCGGGCGGGCGCGGCGCGGCAGGCTAAGGCAAGGCGGGCGCGCTAGCCGCGGCGCCGGGGTAGCCCCGCGCAGCCCGTGCCCGCCCGCCCCATGGCGCCCCGGCCCCGCCGCTCGCGCTCCCTCGCCCGCCCCACCCGGCGCCGCGTCCCGCTCCGGGGCCTCCACCCCCGGCTCCCCGCGTTCGGCTGCCCCCCCGGCGGCGCCGCCGATTGTTTTTGTTTTCACGGGAACCGGCCGATGACCTGGTTCTCCCGGGCGGCACCAAGAGCCGCGGCCCGGGAGGGGGTCGAGCCTCGCTCGCGAGCGGAGGAGGAGGAGGCGGCGCGGGCCGTACCAAGCGCGGGCTGGGCGCGGGGTGTCCGGGGGAAGCAGCCGGCCAGCGCGGGCGGTGGGAGGGCGCGCCGGCGTTCGGAAGGCGTGGGCCGTACCACGCGGGGGGCGGCGCGGGAGCGCGGCCAGGGAGGAGCGAGCGGCGCAATTGGCCCGCGCGGCCCAACAGGGAACTGGAGCGACCGCGTCCGCTGCGCGGCCGGTAAACAAGAGGGTGGAAACCGTCCCCCGCTACCCCGCCCACCGGCGGAAGGCGGACCAATGGGCGCGGGGCCTAGGCGACAGACGAACGTCGCCCAATCCGCGGCCGAGGCGTAAAGCCCTAGCCAATCCGGGAGGAGGGGCCGAACCAATGCGGTCGCTGTTGGAGGGGGGTGGCAGGGAGGGCGAAGCGAGGCTCCTCTGCTGCCCCGGAGCGGCGTGGGGAAGCCGCGCGGGCGGGAACCCACAGGGATGTTTCCCCACGACTTCGCCCGCGTAGCAATTCCTGTTACCTCCGCCTGGCATCTTGACCCGAGTCCCGGCGCTGCGGCCCGCCTCCCGGGACCAAAGGCAGTCGGTCGGGCCGCCTGGGGGCGGAGGGCCCGGGTGGGGTCACTCGCGGTGGACGGTGGTGGCTCTCCCGGCGGTGGCCGGAGCTGAGCAGTCTGCTCCTTGCTCCTTGCCCTCCCTTACCTTGGCGCAGGCTTTGCCCCGGTTTACCACGGGTTCCCCTCGGCCCGAGCCCCTTTGCTCGCCAGGCTTCTGCCCCACTAGCCTGTCGCCTCTGCACTTGCCCATGGCCCGGCCTGAGAGAGTCGTGTCCTGAAGTTCCCAGCTTACCCATCTCTACTCACAGCATCCCCTTCCACCATGATTGTGTCGCCTCCGCCCCCCCCACACACGTTTTCTCCATCAATCCACCATATCTCTTATGGCACCTATTTGTTTTCCTAAACATCATTTGTCAAAGTCTTAATAATAATTATCTGGAGTTTCATTTGTTTTGCTTGCACCACTTAAGTAAAGCTGAGAAGGGCAACCCCCTTTGTTGTGGTCTGTTTGTTCTCTGGAACACGGCTTGCACCAAAGTGGGCAGCCTTTGTTTTCCTTTAATTAGGGTGGTAACCTTTTTGAACTTCAATTTCCGTTTTCATCACGTGGAAGCAAGTAGGGTGCGGGGTGGGGGGGGGGGATGCTTCCCCGTATGGTTAGAGTTAATGGAATAATATACGATGGCCTGTAACGATAACCAGTGGTGTTGGGTATTCAGGCGCCCCAGCTGATGTCTCAGGGCTCCTCTCTACCCCTTATCACACCATTTGTTGTATCCCTCTTTCTTGGCAGATGGCCCTGATTCCTGCCTCACGAAGATAAAAACCATTTAGCTCCAGCAACCTTACCATTCTCAAAAGCTTTTCTAGCTAACATCCTTTTTGTGCAAGTTCTCGGGCACCCAAAGGCCTTTTGTTAAAGGCCCCCTTCTTTCTAAGACAAGCTGGAGGGCACAGACATCATCTTCCAACTGCCTAGATCTTCCTGGCTGCCATACTTTGGTTCTTCCTTCCTCTTGGGGACTGGAATGGACTTGACTTAGCCGGAAGTGTGGGCAACTGTCCCTGGGACCCTTGAAGCTATTTCCCTCTTAATTTAGCTGCCACACTGCACAGACAAATGTGCACTTGTGGCTCCCCTTTGTCCAACAATCTCCTTGACAATTTGTCATTTTTTCTCTCTCTCATTATTCTTCTATTGGTAGAATAGCTAAACATCCGTGTAAGGCCTTCATCATAATGCCTGGCACAGGTAAGCGCTATTGTTAGCCACCAATCAGAAACAAACAATGACTCTTCAGTAACTGCAGCTTCGAATCCAGTGAGCTGCAATGATGCCCAGTGTACCCTGTCACAGCTCCATCTCACCCCACACTGACACACTCAGCGTGAGCCTGCACAAATACACAAAGTACCAGTCCATACTTAAAACGGATGCAATCAAACTTAGTCCCTTTACTGCACTAACCCGCATCTCAGATCCTCAGTAAGCTGAGACTAATGGCCCTACTAAGCAGTATAGAATGAGCAGTCTCCTCCCTTTTGGAAGTTCTAGTAGGGCTCATTGAGACTTTAACAACAGTAAAAAACGCCACAACTTCATCCAACACCTACATGCGTACTGCCCCATATCTCTAGTTCAGTTTCTAGTTGGCCATACTAGTTGGCCTGGCTAATTTATTGCCAACCTGATAAAAGTGTCTATGAACAGGAACCTCAACTGAGAAATAATGCCTCCATCAGATTGCCCGTAAGCAAGCCGAGTGAACAATTTCTTGATTAATGGTTGATGTGGCAAAGACAAGCTCACAATGCCACTTCTGGGCAGATGCTCCTGCCGAATCCAAGAAAACAGGCTGAGCGCACCAGTCAGCAGCATCCTTCCATGGCCTCTGCTTCAGCTCCCGCCTTGAGTTCATGCCCTGACTTCCCTCAGCCATGGACTGTTACAGGCTGAAATAAACCCTCACCCCACGCCCAGCTGATTTTGGTTGTGGTGTTTTATCACAATGAAAGCCCTAAGATTGATGTGACCACACGGGTAGGTCCCATATCAGACCTGACTTCATTCCCTTCTCTTTGAGTTAAATAGAAGGAAAAGTGCCCTCAAGTGTTTGTTAAAGGAGAGCAACACATTAGGTGAGAGAGAGCCTCCAGCTTGAGTGGAGAGATATAGTTAGACAGTCAGAGGCGTTTATGTTCCCTTTGCATGAGTCTTCTCACCCAGTTCATAATTGCATTTAGCCCTAGAACTGAATTCTCAAAGAAGGATCTTTAGAAGTGAGAAGAGATAGTGCAGTGATTAAGAGCACTTGCTACTCTTGAAGAGGTCCTGGGTTCAGTTCCCAGAAGCTCACAGCCAATAATCTAACTCCCATTCCAGGGGATCTGCTTCCCTCTTCTGACCTCTACATGCACTGAACTTACACGGTTGGGGACAGACATAAAAATAAATAAAATGAAGCTTTAATGAAAGGTGTATGGCTTGAATATGAAATGCTCTCCATGGGCTCATGGCTCATGGGCTTGGTCCCCATCTGGTGGCAGTATTTGGGGACTTTCTGGAAACTGCAGGATATATAGTTTCCTTCGAGGAAGTAGGTCCTGAAGGTGAGTCATTGGAAGTAGCTGTTGGTCCCCAACCTCTACCTTGACTTCCTAACCTATTAGGAGGTGAATAACCTCCATTATATATTTCTGCCACGGTGGTGTTCTTCCTAGGTCCATACAGAACCCTCTAGAACCATCAACAGAATAAAATCCATGATTTTTTGCATTTTTACCATGAGAACAAGCGCATACACACACCAAGGAAAGCCATTGCTTGGAACAGACTCCTAGAATTGCACCCCACATGATAGGATGAGAGAATTAATTTCTGAGAGTCATTCAGAGCAAGCTTTCTTACATACAAAACAAATACATAGCCAGGTGTTGGTGGCTCACTCCTTTAATCCCAGTACTTGGGGGGCTGGGGCAGGTGGGTCTCTGTAAGTTTGAGGCCAGTCTGATCTACAGAGCTAGTTCCAGGACAGGCTCCAAACCCTGTCTCGAAAAACAAAAACACAAACAAAAAAATACATACATACATAGTAATAAGTATCATAAAATGTTAAACCTCAGCAAAGAAATAGAAATGAACGAAATGAAGATAATAGAACTGAAAAGCACAGAAAATTCCATTCAAAATGTGTTGTATAGACTCAGTAATAGAATGAAAACACCAGAGGCTAGAACCAGGGACTCTAAGGACAGACCTGTAGAATGTAGTCAACTGAGCAGAGAAAAAACAATCCTAGAGATCCATGAGATGCTTCAAGTATTAAAAAAAAAATGAAGTGAGTGGAGAGGGAGCTAGGAGAAAGAGAAGGGGAGGAGAGGAGAGCATGTGGGACCAGGAAGATTGAGGCAGAGAGAGAGAGAGAGAGAGAGAGAGAGAGAGAGAGAGAGAGAGAATAAAAGAGGGAGCCATTATAGGTTTGAATAGAAAACTGACTCTAGAGAAATGTCCAGAGACCTACAAGGATGACCCCAACTAACAATCTGAGCAACAGTGGAAAGGCTACCTTAAATGCCTTTCCCTGATAATGAGATTGATGACTAACTTATCCACCATCATAGAGCCCTCATCTAGTAGCTGATGGAAACAGAAACAGACACCCACAGCTAAACACTGAGCCGAACTGGAATCCAGATGCAGAGAGGGAGGAGTGATAAGAAAATGGGGACAAGACCAGGCTGGAGAAACCCACAGAGACAGCTGACCTGAACAAGGGGGAGCTAATGGACCCCTAGACTGATAGCTGGGAATCCAGCATTGGACTGACTCAGACTCCCTGAACATGGGTCTCAATTAGAAAGCCTGGGCAGTCTAAGGGACCTCTGACAGTGGAACCTGGATGTGTCTGTGGTGCACAAAAGGACTTTGGGAGCACATTCCACATGGAGGGATACTCCCTTTACCTAGAGGCAGGAGGGAGGGCCTAGTCCCTACTCCAAATGACTTGACAGATTTAGATGACCCCTCCTAGAAGGCATCACCCTCCCTATAAAGTGGGGGGGGGAGGAAGAGAGGAAGAGGGAACTGGGGTTGATGTGTAAAATAAGAAAAAATAAATAAAACAAACAAACAAACAAAAAACCAAAACGGTAAGTTCTCCTCATTTGGCGAAAGACTTGAACCTACA